CCGCCTCGCCCCGCCCCGGCTCGCCTCGCACCGCCTCCCCTCCCCTCTTCACCTCGCCTGCCCTCACCCCTCCCCTCCACGACCCCCCGCCTCAGCTGCCAGAGGACCAGGCGGGGCGCACGCTCGCTCCTGTCGACGGGGGCGAGGTTGCCCGAGATACACCCGAGGCAGCCCGAGGCTATAGGCGGGGCGCATGTTTGCATCCGTCGACGCGGACGGCGACGGCAAGATCGAGTTTGTGCAGGACTTCGGCCGCACCTCGGCCGCACCTCGGCCGTGTCTCGGCTGCACCTCGGCCGCACCTCGGCCGCAATCGGCCGCACCTCGGCCGCACCTCGGCCGCACCTCGGCCGCACCTCGGCCGCACCTCGGCCGCACCTCGGCCGCACCTCGGCCGCACCTCGGCCACACCTCGGCCGCACCTCGGCCGCACCTCGGCCGCAATCGGCTGCACCTCGGCTGCACCTCGGCTGCACCTCGGCCGCACCTCGGCCGCACCTCGGCCGCACCTCAACGATGCACCTGTTCGTAGGTGTACAAGGCCATTTCGGACGAGGCGCGGCACGCACAAACAAGCACGCACGCACGCGTGCGCGCACACGTGTGTGTGTGAAGGACTTCCTCGCCCACCTGATCTTGCCTAGGCGCGGTTTGGCGGCGCGGAGGGCGGCGGCTTCCTCGGCGGGCTGTTTGGGCGGTAGATGCACCTGGGGAGGGAGGGGATGGAGCTCTGTTCGGAGAAGGCTCTCGTCTCGCAGCCAGAGGCAGAGCCACGGAAGAGAGGCTTCCTAGTGGCAATCGTTGCACATGTGTAGCATGAGACAGCATGGGGCTGCACATGCCCGCGCGTTTTCACGCAAGAAGAGAGAAATTTACCACACAAAACACAGGGCCGTTGCGCGTTGTGCGCCGTTGCCGTTGCAATCAAAGGAGCTTGACGTGACGTCACGTGTCTCCCATGTCACTTCGTGCCGCTCGGGGCCGGGGTTGCTTACGCGGTCTAAGATCGGCGGGAGCTTCTTATGCGGGCTAAGTCGCCGCTTCCCCGTACTGACTCCGCCTCGCTTCGCTGTGGCAGGAGCGGAGCATTGGCATGCGACGTTTGCTCTTGCCCTTCCTTTGCGCCGCGGCGTCGGTGAGCTGTTCGCCGTACGTGCAGCGACCTGGCTCGGGCGGGGAACTGATGCACGGGCCACCATGGGAAAAGCAATATTTCAAGCACAAACCCGCTGCGAACCGGAGTGCAGTGCAGGGACGAGGTGCCCTTTCTGGAGAGGCGCTGCAAGTGCTCGCCCGCCAGCATGCCGAGGCGTACGCTACCGCGCGGCCATTCAAAAACATAGTGATCGATGGCCTCTTGCCGCAACCTTTGGCACTCGCATGCATGCGCGAGCTTCAGGCAAAGCACGAAGCTACCTCATTCTGGAAGACCCGACAGACTACAATGGGCTTCAAGCGCGGGCGTGGTGGCTATCCCGAGAACGCAGAGGGCGGCGCCTTTGGACTGTCTACCGCACGCCTCTTCGACTTCTTCCAATCGCCGCGCTTTGTTGCCTTTCTCGAGACGCTCACAGGCATCCGCGATCTGATGATTGACCGACGCATGTTTGGTGGTGGCGTCTTCTCGATCACAAACGGCGGCTTCCTCTCTCTCCACACCGACTTCAACCAGCACCTGCAGTGCTCGGAGAAAAAACATCGGGAGCTGTCCACCCAGGTCCCTCCCGGATGCACAGTGGCGACACCGGGCTGGCGAAGGATCAACGTCCTCCTCTACCTCAATCAGGATTGGCGCGAGGAATGGGGCGGCTCGTTCGAGCTTTGGCGGACGGATGGGAACTACTCGTTCCTCGACTACTACGCCAAGGTGTTGCCTCAGTTCAATCGGGTCGTTATTTTTTCTGTCACGGACACCTCCATCCACGGCCATCTTGACCAGATCAACCACCCGCTTGGTGACACGCGCAAGTCTCTCTCATTCTACTACTACACGCGGGACATTCACGACGAGCCACTTATCACGCCCCTGCTGCACGAGTCAATCTACATGCCCGGGCATGCAGCAAAGCGCTCGAAATCCCGCTGGCACAAGATGGTACCGCGATACATCATCCGCTGACGGACGCCGCTCAAAACATACCAGCCCTTCGAGTTCACGGGTGAACTGGTGAACTGGTTCATGAACTGGTTCGGTGAACTCGGACGCGGTTCGTTCGGTTTCGGAGTTCGCTCTGGACGGCTCCACTTGGTTCGCTGCATCGGTTCGGTCGTTCGCCCTTGGGCGCCGAACCCTCGAACTAGTTCGTGAACTCGAACCTTTTCTTTTTCTCCTCCCACCCGACCCTCTTCTTCACACCCGCAGGCCGAGAATACCAGGGAAGTTCGTCTGCGATGCGAACGAACAGGGAACGAACCACAATATTATTTTGGGGCTCTGCAGGTCTGTAGAGTGTTTCCCTGGTTGCCTACTAGAGGCCTAGTACGCCTGGACGCAACCCTCGGGGAGCCCCCGTCCCCCAGTCTACTCGCCATTCAGCACGCACAGCGCCCAGGCACCACAGGGGGCGGCCCTGCTGCTGCGCTCTCAAGGTAAGGTAAAAGGTAAGGTAATTTTCTCCACACACACCGAGGTGGTGGGGCAAGGGGGGGCAACCCTCGCGTCTCCACGTCTGACGCTCACAGCGCCCGTATAGTCCGCTAGATTTTGCAGACTGTCGCGGACCGTCACGCGTCAGAACACGGTGCTGTGCCTTAGAAGGTGCCTTCGCACGAAAAATTCGTCAGGGGCGGGGAACCCGCAATTTGAAATGCTCCGGCATCTCAAATTGCCCGATACGATCTCCATTTTAATTGAGATTGCCTCGAGCATCCCAAGATGCATGAAGCAATTCAGGATGCGCGCGCATCCTGAATTGCTTCATGCATCTTGAATTGCTTCGTGCATCTTCAACCGGCGCACATGCGACGAGAGCAGGCGCCGTTTTTCATTGCCTATTCTAACGAGACACAGAGCAGCGGCACGGGCGTTGCCGATCGAACACGGATTGCTGAGGGCCATGCACAATTCGTGCGGTTATGGGCTGCCACCGCAAAACATGCAAACGACAGGCCACGCCACGTGCGCCACCATATCCAGCTGCGCAGCGGCAACGACTGCCGAGGCGCAGGCCGAGCCGCAGCCTACCCGATGCCCCGCCGACATGCGGCATTGGCCAAAATGCTGGGCATCTCAGGTTAAGGAAGGCAACTTGAATTAGCAAGGAGCATCCTAGAATGCAAAGGGGTAACTCCAGATGCTAGCGCATTCACGAATGCAGTTCGCATTCCAGGATGGTCGACGCATCCTGGAATGCGTGGACCATCTTTGGAATGCGGTGTGCATCTTGAAATGCGAAAAGTCAACTCGGCATTCTGAGTTGAAAAATGCAATCTAAATTGATTTTTTGCAACTCAAAATGCCCTCAGCATCTCAAATTGCGGGTTCCCCGCCCCTGACGATTCAGTTGCGAGTTTGGGGGGCTGCGTTCTCGTTCGAGTTCGGAGTTCACGAAGAGAGAAAAAACACAAGAGGGAATTAATTGGTATATGCGGGGGCCCAGGGATAACGCGCCACACCACAGGGTGCACAACTCTCAGAAGGGGGCCGCGGGACCGCTGCTCTACACAACTCACTGGTTGGTCCCAGACACGCCGGCTCGGGGGGCGGGCGTGCAAGGTTCCATGTCTGCTGCGAGCGAGAGAAGGAACGGTCAGGGCTGTCAGCCACGCAAGCCGCCGCAGTGTCGGCCGAGCCATCTACACAGCTCAGTCTCCCTGCCCTCCCTTCTTGCCGATAAGCTCGCTCAGGATGCTCTTCGCGCCCGCGGCGTCGTCCTCGGGCTCGGGGAGCACCTTTGGGAAGGTTCCGAGAAGGTTCCGAGGATGGTGGTTACCTTCGAGCCGTCCTCACGGGCGCTGGCAGCACCCGTGGAAAGGCTCCGGGCAAGTTCCGACTAGGTTCCGAGGTGGTTCCGAGAGAAAGTTCCGAGACGGTTCCGAGATGGTCGAAGCGTGCTCGGGTGCGGGGAACCTTGGTCTCGGCTGCGCCGTCGGGCAGCGGAGCGTCGACGTACCTGGACGAGGTCAGAGGTGCGCGGAAGGCCCTCCTCAGGCTCAGGCAGCCCTCGCGACTCCACGTCCGAGGTCACCGACCCCCCCCCCCCCCTCCCTCCCCTCCCCCCGCCCCGCTTTCCAGTGCAAGGCGAGCTGACGCACCTCACCGACGCCGAGTTGACGCAGTGCCGCTCATTGGTCCGGGTGAAGCGCTCGCCTGGAAGGGGAGCAAACACCCTCGCGAGATCTCGCGGGCGATCTCGGACAACCTCGGGCAGTGTCATGCAGTCTCGGATGATCAACTGCGCCAACCAATCCGTCTCACAAGCGATCTCGGGGCGACGTCGCCGCACGTCCACCAGCCCGCACTCCTCAGCACCAACCTCGCGCAACCTCGCGCAACCTCGCGCAATCTCGCGCTCTACTGTCTCGCCCTCGAAGACGTGGCCCAAGTGGCCGCCACACGAGCCGCAGAGGATCTCGACGCGCCGCATCCCGAGCGAGGTGTCTGTCTGCGTCACCACAGCGCCTGAGGGAGATTGCACGAGATTGCACCAGTGCGAGAGTGCGCGAGAGTGCGTCACCACACCGCGCCTGCGGCGTTTGACAGTAGTAGCAGCACTTAATGAGGAGGCGCCCGTCGGCTTGCCGGCGCACTGCCCTGTGCCTATGGGGATCCGCAGCCCACTGACCGAAGAGCTGGTTGGGGGTGGTTGCCAGACGTACCAGTGTGCGCGCTGCCTTTGACGATCCGGTCGAAAGCAGGCCAACCGCACCCGCTGTCGAACTTTGCCGCAGCGGAGTAGAGCGGCGCGCCGCACCTGTTCACGGCAGCGCGGTGTGAAGAGACGCCGTTCACAGGCCACGGCGCGCCGCGCCGCGCGTGCTTGCGACCCGCCGCACACAAAGTGGCCTGCCTTTGGGTAGAACTTGTCGTACTTGCCTGAGCACGCACGGCACGCCTCGTGTGTGAGTAGGCTGGTTAGCGCATGGGAGGTATTCTCTTCTTAAAGCAAGGTCTGTGAATTGTGACCCCCTCAATCGTCTGTGTGTGGTGCGTTGCACTTCGGGTGCTCCCTCATTGAGCTGTGGTTGTACCTCTCTTAAGCGCTGTATCAATCGGTGGGCGGACTGACCTGATCCAGGGTACTCGGTCCCTTTTTGCCGCAGCACGTAGTACTCCTCGTCCGAGAGCTGCTCCCGCCTGTTCACGGCAGCAGCTGTGAGAGGCGCCGCCCAGACCGAGTCCTCACCGGACCAGCCGGCCTCGCGCCACGCGGCCTCGGTCTTGCGCACACTGTACTCGACGCCCTGGTCGTTGAGGTCACGCACGCTGCCCATCATCCGAGCCTGAGACGCGAGAGTAAGACAGCGTGCGGTGAATGGCGATCCGGGAGAGGAGAGCTCTCCCGAGCGAATGGCCACCTGCTGTCCAGCCCCGCGCATCCGGACTCCGGCCATGGTCGGCAGCCGGAGAGCTGCGGATGGAGCGGCGCCCGAGCTTATGACTCCGATCAGCGAGAGCCGGAGGCGCCCGAGGAGGTGCATATACACCGCACCAGTAGAGCGGCCCAGGAGAGAAAATGAATCCTTCAGCGTGCGCGACGGGCCGTGCGGTCATCAACCTTCAGCATGACGGTGTCGTGATAGTCCCGCTGCCGAGAGACCATGGCAATGAGGAGGAGCTGCGCCGGGACCTGCAGAGAGTCAGCTCAGCGGCGCTTGGATACGGCCAGCCTGTGGAGATCAAGCCCATGACCGATGGGGTTGACCCAAACCCGGTGAGAGGTAAGCTCGCCCCAGCCTGGGCGACAAACCTAGGGGCATGCGTGGCCGGCCGCGTGGGGCCGCAGGAGGCGGTAGCGGGAGAGCACGCCCTCCGACCTACCCCGTCCGAGACACTGGTGAGAGCAGGCCTGCTCCCGATCGTGGACGGAGTCCTCTGGGTGGCAGCAGACGCCAGACAGTGGCAGCAGCTACAGTCAGGGGGGGAAATGACCGCCCCCAACCCGGCTAGGGAAGGCCCCGGGGGCGAGGTGATACGCCTATGGCGGAGGAACTGCCTCTTGCGGGCCACGAGATGCAGACTGCGGGCGATCAGATGGGCTCAAGCGATGCCGGGGGGTGGTGGAGCGGTGGTCATGATTGATGAGATTGCCGTCTCCAGGTCATTCGGGGCCGAGGCTGTTATCGATGTACACACCACCGAAGGGATGAAGCGGTGCGGACTCGCAGCCGACTCCAAGCTGGGACAAACATGGCGGGAGGACCTCGCGGTCATGCTAGCCGTGCCAGGCCTGTCCCGTGGGAAGGGCCACGTGATACAAGGAGGGGAGGTGGCCTCCCTCGCCCTCCCGGCGAGATCGTCGGTAGGTGACTCTGGAGAAGCAGCCGTGGAGATGTCGGACGGGGAGGTCTTGATGACGGCCGACACGACCCGACTGAGCCGATACAATGACGAGGTGGCGGCGGCGTACCGGACCACGGTTGCCTTCGAGGAGATGATGAGAAACCGGGCGCCCGGCCGAGCCCCCCAGCGACCGACGCTGATCCTGGCCACGGACGCGTCCACGGTGATGGGGACCGAGATGGGGGTGGTGCAGCGCATAGCTAGTCGGGGGGGGGCACTCGACCCCAAGGACTTGGCGTCGATGCGGGCCACGGACCTCGACGAGCTGAACGTGGCGGCACCCGAAAAGATAGGCGGGCCGGTCTGGGTCTATTTCCTCGACGATAAGGGCGGCTTCAAGGCGGACTGGGTACTGGTGTGGGCGACCCCACGCCCGGGCTCGGGCCTGACCAGGGCCCACATCCAATACGTGGGTCGAGACACCCCGCACAACGAGCCGGGATGGGGGGCGGGCTTCTGTGGCGTGACATGCCGCGGAGAGCAGGACCTGCAACCAGGCCGCCCGGGGAGGGTTGACCGGCTTGTCACCCGAAGCGCCAGCGGCTGGACCACCTGCCTGGACCTTGAGAACGGTGTGATGGCTATCCCGGCGAAGGGGGGGCCCGGAGCGAGGGAGGTGTGTGTCGATGGGAGAGAGGTCGACATCTCGATGCCCCCGGAAGAATGGCGGGACCCCCTCGATTTTGTAGTGCGGAAGACCATTCGGGTGGCTCGACAGCTCGCGACGATGCAACCCCGTAAGCGACGGGCGGTTGGGGCGCGGTTGCGGAAATGGGCGGGGACGTCGGTCGATGAGATACTCGAGGCGACCATGTCCGTGGCGCGAGAGCGACCCCACGAGCAGGCTCGCGGCGCCGGAGCAGCGATGGGCCGGGAGAGGGTGACGAGGAGAACGACGGAGGCCCCGGCGCCGCGGACGGAAGACGCCGTCTCTACCCTCCTATCGGCGGCGGCGTTTGCGGTGGCGAGACACCTACAGACACTCGGGGAGGGGGAGGGGGCGACCAGCCTCGAGATAGACTGCCCGAGGGCGCCGACCGTCTGCCCGTGCGTCAACGGTGGCCAGTGTACGCTCGGAAGGGCCGGAACCGTCCTCGGGGATCACTATACGGACGCGGTGGCGGGGCTGGAAGGCCCCGTAGCCGATGGGTGGGCCGGGGTTCGGAGGCTTCCTGGTGAGCTGGATTACGCCTGCATATGCGGAGAGACCTTCCCCACCCGCCTCCGGCGCGATATCCACGTTCGGGCGGCGAAGGTGGGAGAGGCGCATCACATCCCGCCAGAAGCGAGACCGCGCCTGGCGGCGGCATATATCCTGGTTGATGCGGACGCCCTCTCGCCGTACGAAGCGGGGGTGGCAGCGGGCGCGAGCCGGATGACGACGCGCGGCGATCAGCTAGAGCACAGCACCTCGTCAGAGCAAAGAGCGCTACTGGATGCGACCCGCGAGTGCGCCGACGCCATACCTCGGCCTTTGATATCCGGGCGGTGCGGGACCGAATCGAGAAGGACCAGGCGAGGGGGGAGGCGACGCGACTACTGCGCAGTCTGCGGCCCGATGCGGAGCCGGGGGGGGGAGAGGCGGGACCGTCGGCGAATCCGGGCCCTGCCCCCCCCCCTTCCCGAGGGGAGACGAGAGCTCGGCCCCCCCCCACGAGCGGAGTGGACGGCCGGCGCGTGGAACCACGGCTGGAACGGCCGCAGGGGCAGGGGGCATCCCCCGAGGCCCCGCCCCAGGAGTTGCGACGGCCGACACCGCCACCAGGCCCGCCCCCACCACCACCGCCTCCGCCCCCGCCGTTGGAGCGACCGCTGGGTCGAGGAGCCGCCCCTGAAGTTCCACACCAGGCGGTGCAGCCGCCAGTACCGCCATCGTTTCCGCCACCCACACTGCCGTTTCCGCCCTCGCCACTGGAACGGCTGCAGGGTCGTGGGGCCGCCCCAACGGCTCCACACCAGGCGTTTGGGCCGCGAGGGCCGCCACCGTACCCGCCGCCCCTGCTACCGCCTCCACCCCTGCCGCCGGCGGGGCCGCCACCGTATGGACCCGCTCGGCATAACCTGGGGGGTCCGGGACCACCCCGCCGGAGGCTAGAGTACCCGGAGGGAGGAGCTGGGAGAGGGGAGGGGCCGCAGTACGATAACGGGCCCGCCGGCGAGCCGGAAGGCCGAGGCCGGAGGGCCCCAGGGGGGGCTTGGGGTCAGCTGTCGGAGGAGGTGAGAGACGAGCTGACGCGGCCTCTGCGGGTAGAATCGGGACGTACGGACGAGCCGAGGACGATAGAGAGACCGCGGGGGCGGGCACGAGTCCTCGACCGAAGAGAGCCGGCCTCACTTCACGGGGAGGGGCGGCGTGGCGATCCAGTGCCGCCGCCCTCGCCCGAGGAGTTGGGCATGGGACCACCGGAGGTGGAGTCAACAGGAGCAGGCAGAGTGGGCGAGACGGCGGCGGGGCCGCGGCCGAAAAAGGCTAGGAGGGGGGGTCGGGCCCCGCATCCGTTGCCCAACCAGCGGAAAGCGAGTGGGGGGAGGACCGAGGGGATAAGAGGGCCCCTCCAGACCGAGGGGGGGGAGGCCAGACCGGGAAGCCTCGAGGGGTGACGTCGAGTGAGGATGTACGTCGTGTGCGTGTCTGGTGTTTATTAGCTCCGAGTAGAGGGGGCGCTCCGCTGCTAGGGGAAACCTGGAGCGCGGACTAACCCTCGGAGACCCGTGTTTACTTTACGGCCCTTTCCCTGGGAACGCGCACCCCCTGGGCTAGGGCTCTCTGCCCCGCAACCCGATGCCAATCATCCGGCCCGCTGGGTGCGCTTCTCAGCTCCCCGGCCCTGGATGTGCGGTTGCCGACGGCACTCCAAGTGCTCCAAGTGCTCCTTCAGGGTTGCGCAGCTATGAACAGGAGCGAGTTCGCGCTGCGCTAGGCTCAGACGGCGTGTTCGCGCTGCGCTAGGCTCAGACGGCGTGTTCGCGCTGCGCTAGGCTCAGTACGGCGAGTTCGCGCTCTGCACCGCGCTGCGGAGAATTTATCTCTCGGCTGCGTTGGCTCGCCAAAGTCTTCAAAACACGCACACCCAACAAGAATTTATCTTGTTCCAGCGGAGATTGAGCGTCTCGAGCCGCGGCGCTGCCCCCTCCTTGCCGAGGGCGGCGGCAAGCGCCTCGCAGCCCTCGTCGCCAATCTTGTTGCCGTCGAGCCAGAGCTCCTCGAGCCGCAGCGCTGCCCCCTCCTTGCCAAGGGCGGCGGCCAGCGCCTCGCAGCCCTCGTCTCCAATCTCGTTGCTTTCGAGCTTGAGCGTCTTGAGCCGCGGCGCTGCCCCCTCCTTGCCGAGGGCGGCGGCCAGCGCCTGGCAGCCCTCGTCGCCAATCTCGTTCTTGCAGAGATTGAGCTTCTCGAGCCGCGGCGCTGCCCCGCTCGCGAGGACCTCCGCCAGCTGCACCGCCTCCGCGTCGCCCCAGCCGAGGCTGTCGTACCACAGCTCGGTCGCCTTGCCAAACTGCTCCTCGAAGGCGGCCTCGTACAGCCGCTTCACGAGCGGCTTGTCGTCCTTGCCGTTGGTGAAGCTCTTCGTCTCCAGCTCCTCCGCGAACGCAGACGGCAGCAGCGGAGGGCGCCGGCCGCCGGCCTGGACGCAGGCGTTGGTGAGGCTGTCGAAGTCGTACTCCTTGCCGTCGCGCATCTTGCCGAGGTCGAGCGAGAGGAAGCTGGCCTTGGTAAGGCTCGCCCAAGCGTTCTCAGTGGCGCACCAGCCGCGGTCAAAGTACTTGGCCACGTTGGTGCCCTCGGCCTGGTCCTCCGCCTTGTGGCCGTCCGGGAAGGAGGTCAGCCGCAGCACCCATGTCTGCGGGTGGGAGTAGAGCGTGCCGAGGTAGCCCAGCCCCTGCTTGAAGAGCGCGTTCTGCTCGTCGGTGCGCAGGACGCCCTTGGCGGGGTCGGGGTGCTGGTGCAGCGAGCCGAAGTCCCAAAAGACGCCGAGCCGCAATATGTACCGAGTGGTGAGCAGGGCCTTGAGCGCCCTCGCGACGCGGGAGAGGTTGGCTCCGCGCGGGTCGGGGTGGTCCTTGGTCAGCCACGGGTAGGAGAGCGCGGCGACGGGAAGCCAGCTGTGCCACTCGGTCGCCTCAACGAGGTCGGCAAGGGAGAGGAAGGCCTCTTTGGGCAGAGCCTGGCGGTTGTTGAGAACGCCGCCCGCCTCGGCGTGGCGGATGATCCACTGCGCGTCGAGGAGGGCGACGGCGCCGCTCGCGAGGACCGGCTCGAGGGCATCGCCGCCGAGCTTGCGCCATAGCATTGCCTTCTCTTTCCGCGCAGGCAGACAGGGCAGCGACTTCTCGAAGCACGCGCGCATGGAAAGCATCGCGATGGTGCTCAAAAGCGGGTCGCTCGACAGCGGCGCAAACGTGTGCTGAAGGCGTGTCAACATAAGCGAGCGGTTTCTTGGCTCACAATTCTTTTCCCTGTGGTGTGCCGGTGTGCGTGCCAGTCCGCGCCAGTCCGCGCCTTGTCGTGCCAGCACAACACTCGGACTGTGAAATTCTTTTTCCATCTACGCGTTAGCAGTCCGAGCCATGGCCTCGCCGCGAGGCAAGCAAGGCCGGCGGTGCGGCGGCGGGCGAGCCGCAGCCGCACCCGCCTGCGCGACGGCACAGCGTTCCTCGGCCTTCGACGCGGACACCTGGCAGGCCGCCCTCAACGAGCAGCTGGAGGCGCTCGAGCGCGCGGCCGGTGCGCACGCTCCCGCAGCGGCTGCCTGCCGCCTGACCCCTCCCATGCCAGCGCACCCCGTCCGCCTCCTCTCCTCCTGAAGGGGGGCGGGGCAAGGGGGCGTGAGGCGCTGCTGTCAGGGGAATGTTGGGGGCGCGCAAAGCCGCTCGGAAGAGACGGCCAGGAGCCAAGGAGCGGCCGGAGCGCGGCGAAAGACCGAGGGGAAGTGGCCGCCGCATACAGCCTCCGGCGGGCCTCCGGCGGACGCCTGCGGCGTGGCGCTGCGCGCGACCGGCCCCTTCTCGGTGCGCTGCAGGACGATCTCGCTCAAACGTGCGCCTGCCGAAGCGGGGCGGTCACGGGACCGGCTGAAATTGCGGCCGCAGCTGCTTGGGGGGGTGAGGATGGCTGGATATGATCAGCTTCTCGCGAGGAGCCCGCGTCCCGACGCAGCAGCGATTTCGCGACCTCTAATTTTTCGCGGCCTTCGCCGAGCGCAGGCGCCGGGTAGGGGCACGGGCCAAATTTCTTTTTTTCGCGCCCCCGCGCCCGCGCCGAGCCAAAGGAGCTCCGCGGAGCCGCCAGGCGCCCGCCCCGGCGATTCGCTCGCTACGCGTCGCTCACCGCCGGGGCGGGCGCCTGGCGGCGCCGCTGCGCAAAAAGAATTTTAACAGGGGTCGCTCGCACAACGGGACCCTGTCCTTCTCCCACCCCTCGTTTGGCGTGCCCGTTTTATTTATTTTATTTATTTATTTATTTACTGGGCACGGGACTGGCGCGCACTGGCACTAACACAGGTACACCACTGGAGCCGCCTAAGCGACTCCCGCGAGGACGGCGAGGCACTTAGCTCCGTGCACTCGACCGCCCTCCCTCGCCGCTGGCAAGCTCATTCACAATCTGCTCTGCGATGGCCGTGTGAAGAACGACTGAGATGCGCTGCTTCTGCAGCCCCAGCCAGCTCTTGGTGGTCCAAGTCACCTCAGAGAAAGAATTTAAACAAACAACTCTCGCTCACAGCAGACAGGCTCGACACAGACAAGGGAAGAGGAAGGACATCCGACACGCGCGAGTCGGTCTTCGTGTCACGCCTGCGCCGCAGGTACTCACCCGTCTCCCCGAGCGCGGGGTAGACCCTGGCACACGCTCTCTGGGAGGTGACGGTGGAGGCGAGGAAGCTGGGGAATCGGCGGCGAGCGTAGTCGGACATGCCAATGCCACCATTCTTGCCTGTCTGCTTCGCGCGGGTGCGCGCGAGGGCCGCCCTGTCGTCAGGGCTGCGGCCGAAGTCAAGGATGAGGGCGGCGGCGTTGCCGGTTGCCTCGTCGGCGAAGGCGGCGGCGCCCTCGGTCTGGGTTGGGGGCATCGTGCGCATCCAGTGGTTTGGGACGAGCAGGCGCAGAGGCGAACGAGCTGCAGCTGGAGCAGTCGGGCGTGCCTAACGCGGCCCGAATCCCTCATCCTGACGATGTAGGAGAGCGGCCTCTCGAGCTTGGCCCGCATGAGCTCAAGGAGCGCGCTAGCACATGCGTCACCGTCGCCCAAGAAGGTGCCGCCGACTTTGAAGACAGTCACGCGCCGGCGCAGGCGCTCTTGGCGGGCGGGATCGCTGGCGTCGACATAGTTGGGCGAGCCGGGTATGTCGGCTGGCGCGGCGGAGAGGTTGCCCGCCGAAGAGTAGAGGTTGGTCTTTGGGAGGCAAGAGTCGAGGTTGCAGTCGCGCTTGCAGAGGCGACGCTTGTCGTTGTAGCACATGAAGAGGGGCGGTATGACGCTGCCGTCACTCTCAGTGGAGAGGGACGGCATGCGACCCATGTCGTCGTCGCCGCCGTCGCCCTCGGCGGAGGGGGAAGTCATCGATCCCGACGCGTAGAAGTCGTCGGCGGTGGCGGTCATGTCGACGTCCGGGTTGAGGCGTTGGCACTCGCGGCAGCTCTCGTGCATGGCACCGACACACAAGATGGTGGCGCCCCCGTCGCCCTGGCATCCGCCATCGACGGAGCGCAAGACGTGCTGGGAACGGTGGTCCCCAAGCACGGCGCGTCCGTCGGGGCCAAAGTTGACGGGGACGGTGGAGCCGCCAAACCATATCTTCGCAGCTGTGGCCGCGACGGAGTAGTAGAAGAAGCGGAAGATGGCGAGAAGGGACGGGAAGCGTTTCCGCAGGAAGGCGAATCCCGCCCAGCGGCTCGTCCACTGGTACATGGCGGAGATGTCGTCGGAGACGATGCCGTGGCGTGGCGCATGCTCGGTCCAGCCTCGGACAAGGCGGGCAAGCTTCTCCGTTCCCTTGGAGGAGAAGCACCAGTTGGTGACAAACTTGAGCGGGCGGGAGGCGGCGGCGAGGGCGTCCCTGGCGGCGGCGAGGGCGGCGGCGGTTCGGCCGACGCGCGCGCGTAGTCCCGCGGCGGACGGATCGTTGCTGGAGAGGGCGCTGGCCGCCTCGTGTTGCAGCTCGGCGGCGAGGACGTCCGCCTCGGCGGTGTCGATTCGGCGCTGATGGTCCTGCACGTCCTCGGGGGCGGGCTCGGTGAAGTTGCGTTCGAACCCCTTGCGGCAGGCGCGGTTGATTATCGCCCGGAGGAGGCAGCGCCACTTCTCGCACATGCCGAGGGGCCGACGGCCTTTGATCTCGCCGGTCAAAGGGCAGACTTTGGCGGCGAGGGCGGCGCGGATGCCGCCGGCGAGGAGGTCGCGGGCAGTGGCCCCGCCCTGGTCTGCTGCGACGGCGTAGTGACGGCCTTGAGGCCTCTCGGCTGCCGGATAATCGCTTTGATGATGCGGTTGTCCTGCGGCAACGTGCCCGGCGCCCGCAGGTCGCGCAGCTGTGCGGCGGCCTTCTGGACGAGTTTGGCTGTGAACTGGATCGGGGCGTGCCCAGGCTCGTCGGCTACATGCTCAGGCGTCAGCTCCCGATGGGGTGGCTGAAGGGTTGAAGCCGATGAGGGCGCGTTTGGAGTCCCGCAGGCCTGTTTGCGGATGGTCGTAAGGTATACACCGACACGGTCGGCTCGGACAGCCTGTCGTAGTCCACCTGGAGCTCGTCCTCAAGTTCGCACAGGTCGCCGTCGGGGTTGGAGCGGCTCGCAGTGCGGCGCGCAGTGTGCGGCCGCTCCCGGAACGCTGAACTCGACGACAGTGTAGTTGGTCATGGAAGACTGCTGGGACTGCTGGGGCGAGGTCCTCTCGGGCAGGAGGACGAAGTGCGCCAAAGTCCCGATCAAGCCTGGTGCGGCCTTTCGAGAGCGCTTCTGTGCCGACTGCAGGGCACGCGGCGTCTTTGTGCACTCCTCGCGCCTGCGGGCGGTCGTGTGTGCCAACTTGCCCTCAAACAAACACACAAACGGAGTTTGGAACGAGTCGCGCCTGGTCACCAAGGAGGGGGAAGAGCGGTGGCCCCCGTATCGGATCATCAACCACACCGTCTCCGCCTCGGGCCCAAAATTGGTCATACTCCGCGACGCGACGACTGCTCCGCTCGAGGGTCTCGCCGAGATGCCGCAGAGTGATGCATGGCTCGGGTTCCGCGTGGGGCGCACGCTCGAGCCACTTGCGCTGCAGCCGTTTGCGCAGCGGCCGCCCTCGCAGAGCGCGGTGCCGACGCTGATCGCGGTGCCGATGGCCTTTGCCGTCGCAGCCTCGGAGCCGCCCCTCTCGGCTCCCCCCCACGCCCTCAAGCCTGGCCCGCCCGCCGCGGCACTTGCGGCGGAGGGCGCCTACGCCGCCGCGCCGACGTCTCCTCCTTGGCATACCCCCGCCGCCGCCGCCGCCGCCGCCGCCGCCGCCGCCGCCCCCGCCCCCGCCGCCGGCCTCGCCCCTGCCCCTGCGGCTCCGGTACACGACCCGCGCGCGGCGCCCACTGGGCGCACGTGGCCAAGGGGACCTGGGGGGCCGGCGGGGCCGGCGGGGCCGGAGGCGGGGCTGGAGGCGGGGCCGGAGGCGGGGCTGGAGGCGCGCCCGGAGGCGGCTCTGGAGGCGGCTCTGGAGGCGGATCCGCCCTCGGCCGCCCCAGCAGCACGGCTCTCCGAGGAACGGGCTCACCCCGCGCCTTCTGCCGCCGCCGCCGTCTCGCGCGCGCTGCCGACGTGTGCGCGGCGTCCGCGCTGGCCCGCCTCTCCCTAGATGCGGGGTGGGCTGGACTCGCGCCTTCACGAACGCGCCTTCACGCGCCCTATCGCCCCGCTTCTTCTTCACGCGGCATGCTGTACACATACACACACACACACACACTTCAAGATAGAGGAGCAACCCTAGCCTTCACCCACAACGGACCGGTTGGCGGACGCCAGGGGCTAGGGACCTACTGAGCGGGCCTCTCGAGTATACCCTTAGGTTGGCCTCGCCGGACTGGAGACTGCTCTGCCCGGCACAGCAGCGGGCAGCGCCCCGAGCAAGCCGGCCGCTGGGACCGTGGCCGCGCGCGAGGGCGGGCCGCCGCGCAAGGTTCGAGACGAGATTCGACGGGATGTGGGTGGGCGGGAGAGGGTGTGCTGGGAGCAGGGAGGGAGCGGGGGGGTCTCCTCATGAGTTGTTCATGAGGTATGCACTGGGCCTTTCACTCGGAATGCCGGGCCAGCTCCTGCCTGTCTGGGTGTGGAGCTGCGAGGGCGGCCTTGCCCCTTGCCCCATCACCTTGTGTGTGTGTTGAGACGCCTCACCTTACCGCAGGTTCGACGAGCCTCGGCGGCG